TCACTTTTCTCTCTTTTAAATAACTGTACCTTCCCGCCCCTGTATCACAAATTCATACAGTCTCCTTGCCTGGCTGACACCAGAGTGAGAAGAGAGTCCAATCTCTCTATCACCAGCATTATATCTCTTCCTTTTTCTTTTTCTCTTTCATCCCTTTCTCTCTTATTATTTACTCCGCTTGCATTAGTATTATTTCGACGAAGTATAGTTTTTGAACAAGTAATAGACAACACAGTAAGGATCGACCTAAACAATCAGTTGTAATGGTTCTCGTAATCGATGTGCGATATATTATATTCTCTTCTCACTCATTTTTATAGGAATATATATATATATGTGTGTGTGTGTGTGTGTGTGTGTGTGTGTGTGTGTGTTCAATTCAATCTGCTTGTCAGAATCATCTTCAAGAAGCGAGAGCAAGATCTAAAAGGTCAGCCAATCTAACAGTGATCTCATCTCACAACTCTCACACCTGTTCCATATGTGGCCTTCTTTGTAAATTACAAGCGGGTCTTAAATGCCACTTAAGATTATTGCATAAACTTTCATAACTGAATCCTAAGCTGGCAGATCCGCATGCGTCGAAACGGATGGGACAGTCCATTATATATATATATATATATATATATATATATATATATATATATATATATTGATGTGTGTGTTTCATTAAATAATATAGACAAGTGTTGTCTATTTATCTTATGTAAATTCTTTCATAACGTCTGATAAGCTTAATAGCATTATCATTAAACGAAGAAAGAAAATCATAATATTGATACATATTTTTTTAATCTAATCTAAGCTTTCGGCTTATATAAGCCATTATCAAATATGACATTTGCTGTGCAATATATTAAGCAATACACGGACAAGAATGTTATGATAGTCTGTTTCTGTTTACATGGATGATTTCCAAGCAACGATAAACACGTGCATATAAGACGCTGGAAGCATATGCATGTGTTTATCGTTGCTTGTAAATCATCCATGTAAACAGAAACTGACAAATAGTGTTTAATCCTTCAATATGTTAGTAATATATACGTTTATATTCTAAAATAACATTAATATGCATATGTATGCATATATATATATATATATATATATATATATATATATATATATATCTATATCTCTCTCTCTATATATATATATATATATATATATATATATATATATATATATATATGGGATAGCACAACAAAAAAACATGAAAACAAAACCTTATACAATTCTAGCAATATTGGAAAAAACATTAAATAATAACATTCATCACGTTATATTTTTGTTTTCTTTTAATTCAGCATAACTTGTGACTACTATCTCTCAACTAGAACGGAAATTTAATTTCAAGGAAGGCATTTAAATTAATTAAAATACGTTTGTTTCAGTTTGTTTAGAAAGTCTGTGCCGGTACCAATAAAAAGTAATATCATGCCGAATTAAGTCCTTAAATAATAAAGCCAATGTATATTAAATTAAATTATATTATATATAGTATATATAGTATATATATATATATATATATATATATATATATATATATATATATATATAGTATATTATATTAAATTAAATGAAAGAAATTTATAAGGCTGCGTATTTAAATAATTAAAGCCTTAAAATATTCCCTTATTTGTTAGTCGCTTTTTTTTTAATTGTAACAACTGCCTGCGCTTTAATTAATACATTCGCATCGATTGCTTGCCGTTCAATAGCTGTTTACTTACAGTGGCCGGAGTACAATTATATTCTAGATTATTATTGAAATTAATGAGTCATAAATTCTGTTTTTAACTATTCTATGCAAATCACGTGCAGCCTATATTCTTTTTTATGAATTAAGTCAAATAATACAGGTCATACAATCATATATTTAATTGTCATAATATTCCATATACATGAATAAATCATTGTTTCAATATTTAACATGTTATTATAGCCTCGTTGATATTATATAGACAACATTGATTTCGCACTCCTTCATTTTGCATTGTTTTTTTCTTATTGTGTTGCGTATATAATTTCTATTTCATTGCTTTCTTTATGACATAGAACCATTTTATTCATAGGCTAATTTTTTTCTGTTTGATTATGATATGGAGAGAAGCAGAATCATTCTATTAATTTAGTGTCTGTTAATTCTATTGCGAATAGAGACATTACTGGGCGTGAAGGGGCTTTATCTTGAAGGAAATCGATCTTAATATCAAAACATCTTTGCTGAGAATTGACGCACTGAAAATACTATGGTCGCAGTTCTTTAATTCACTTCGTCTATCTTGACATCAACAATAACTTAAAATGATTCTATAATTCTATTGCTCTTAGTGTTTCTCTTGAAATAATTTCAAGAGCAGCACAAAAATGGTAGCTGTTGCAAACTAAGAAAAATTTAGACAGACAAGATCAGAATATTGCGTTTATTGGCCTTATTACTCTTTCTGTTTTATATTATTCGGTCAAGTTAGCATGAATGTTCATGACTCTATCACGCCAAGCATCACGGTCTTATATTTGATGACAAAGAAAAGAATACTGAGTTGTTACGTGATATCTGTCCTTCTTTACGACAGTGAATGTTGGACGATTTCCTCAAAGATGAAGAAGACACTCGAGACGACAGAGATGTTGTTCTACAGAAGGATGCTAAGGTTTTCATAAACCGAGCGTTTGAGCAACAATGGGATCTTAGAGAGGTTGCAAACAAGGAGGACACTTATACTTAATATCAAGAAGAGGCAATTTCTGGGACACATAATGAGTGAAAAAAGCCTGGAGAATCGGATATTCACGGGCCGAATAGAGGGAAAGAGAGACAAGGGAAAACAACGTGTGACATACTTGGCAAGTGGGGAGGAAGCAGAGGGAAGGTACTTGATGAGAGCTGCAAGACATAGGAAGAGGTGGAGAGCCATGATTGCCTACCTCCTGAAAAGACATGGCACATAAAAAGAAGAAAGAAGTCAATGTAGGTGGTTGCCGGGCAACCAACCTATTTTGCTCCATGGTTAGGAGTCCAGAGCATAGATCATTCGCAATCCTTGTTTTGCTTGCCAGCAGTTTCCTGCAAAGCGCATTCTGCGTACACGTAAGATTGTAGAAATATTAGAGATGAGTCCATAGTACTGTTATTTAGTTGAATGTTGTCTCCAAGAGATGTTAAGTATAGCTCTCAGCATCCGAGTGTAGGTTCCCTCAAGCTTAGACTCTAGGGTTTTAATTAATGTCCAACCAATGGCACCATACAATAATAGCGCTTCCATACTGGCTCCAAAGTATTTCCGTAATGAGGTTGGTAGAGTAGATTTTTTCAGATTACATCTCTCTTATTCAGTCGAACTTAGGCTTTAGCTATGTGAATTTTCACATTCTATCAAGTACAATTTATTCCACTACATAGGTAAAGTGCTATTCGTTAAAAGTGACTCACCTGATTTTTTTTTACTAAAAATATTTTTTGTCTGTTGTTTTGGGGGTTAAAATAATTTTTAATCTTACTAATATAAAAAACCCATTTCCGACCACCTAGGAAAAAAGTTTATTCACCCTAAGTTATTCTATTGATAATTAAAAATCAACCATTCGCCCTTGCATGGAATATTGCTGCCATATATGGTCTGGAGCCGCTTCTGTTTGTCTCAAATTCCTTGATAATATCCAGAGAGGTATATGCAATGGCATCTCGTCTGCAGTCGCTCTCTCACTGACGTGCCGTCGCCACCCTCTGTCTTTTTCACAAACACTTTCACTTTCACTGCTCCGAATATCTGCTTTCGCTGGTTCCCAGATATCGTGAATTTAAGCGTTCAACTAGGCTGGCATCTCGCTCTCACCCTTTCACTGTCGAATCTGTTAAATATAGCCGTCTCTTCTACTCCAATAACGTCATGTCTCGCAATTCTCGCCTGTGGAACTCCGCCCTTTTCCTGTTTCCCCGATAGCTATAATCTCCAACTATTCAAATGTAATGTCAATCGACGTCTCCAGATGCCTTGCTCTATCCCCTATCCTCTTCATACTTTCCTTTATCACTCCTCTTTGCTCTCGCCCCAACTCTCTGTAACCCCTTGCGTGCTAGTGGCTTACCTTCCTTGGAGTGGAACGATTAAAACATAAATAACCCATAACATATCAACCTACTATACATTCTAACTATAAACAAAAATTCCTAAAAAAAATCATATGTACCAATATATCCCTCACTGATCGCAGTAAAAAATAAAACTAATTATATACAACACTAAATTTAATACAACCAACTTTGCAAAGGACCAACAACGTATATAAGTTTAAATGTCCTTTGGGAGATTGTATCACTGACAAAAATGTAAATATATATGTTGGTTTTACTACTGCGACTATGTCAATGAGACTTGCATTTCAAATGAATAATTAAAGCCCAATCTCCCAAAATTCGAAAGAACATTTCTGTTCACATTCACGATATAGACAGATATTAATCGACAATACAATTATAATAAATCATAAAAATAATAAGCATAAACTTTAAAATTCTGAAAGCCTTTTGTATAAAAATATTACGACCAACATTATATAAATTCAATTATGAGTATAGCAACAATATTCTAAAATGTTTATAATAGCAATATTTTTAAAATGCGTGAATATAATTCTAATAAGAATTAGATAGTTAAGTTACCGCCCTTATATAGCAGATTTTTTTTTTTTTTTTTTTTTTTTACTGCGCTGAAGCTCACATATTAACGATAGCTTACATTATTTTTTTAGTATTAGAAATTCAACCCCTGAAGAGGAACTTGGATAGGATTGAAAGTACTTGTGAAATAAAAATAATATGTAAAATTACGGCTATTTTTAATGATCAATTTTGCGGAGACATTAAAAAATTGATTCCTGACCTTTAGAGGATTAATATAAAAATAAATACACATAATATAACTAGATTATTCAACCAAACATGCTTTAACTATTATGACGGTGTTCAGGGCCACGGCCTGGTCACAGCACCAATT